TCCCCTGGGGTGCCCTTGATGAAGACCCCGCCCTGCGTGAGGTCTCTCCCCCCTCCCCTGGGGTGCCCTTGATGAAGACCCCGCCCTGCCTGAGGTCTCTCCCCCCTCCCCTGGGGTGCCCTTGATGAAGACCCCACCCTGTCTGAGTCTCCTCCCCCCTCTACCCTGGGAGGTGCCCTTGATGAAGACCCCGCCCTGCCTGAGGTCTCTCCCCCCTCCCCTGGGGTGCCCTTGATGAAGACCCCGCCCTGCCTGAGGTCTCTCCCCCCTCCCCTGGGGTGCCCTTGATGAAGACCCTGCCCTTGGCCCCTGCTCTTCCCCTCCCCTGAGCCACCTCGCCCACTTCTCTGCCTTCAGCTCCCTTCAAGCCTAAGCTCTGCAAGCCCGGGCCCGTGCTCTAACTCTGACCTCTCTATTGGACCCCTGACCCACACTGCCCGTTGTCTGCTCGTGCCACTCTGTACACTCCAGCCCCGAACTCAAGACGTCCAGAATCACTCAGGCCCCTCCCCCGCCACCCCCGAATGACTCGCCTGTCCGTGTGCTGAGCATCGGCGGAGGCCAGGCACCAAGCCAGCAGCCTCAGCCCCCACCAGTTCCTCCCTTGCCAAATCCTGCTGATCAGTCGCCAACGCATGTCCAGCCAGCACCGGATCATCTGCTCAGCAAACCTGCGAGGTGGGCACGGCCCTTTCCTCCATGTTTTAAATGTGAAATGGAAGCTAAGGCGCTAAACCAGGGTCCCAGGGCACAGAGCTGGAAGGTGGCTGCACGGGGCCTGGAGGGAGCTCTGTGTGACTCCTAGGCCTTGCACTGTGCCCGGGTATTTGCCTGCTGTGTTCTCCCAGGCAAGTGCCTGCTCTATAGAAAGACGTGCGATGCAGGGGAAGGAGTGGAGTCACACGGGTCTGGGTCTGAACCCCAGGTCTGGCCCCTGAGCTCCCGGGGCAGGAGGGTCTGGCTTGCAGGGCCGCGGCAGGGATCAGAGGTGATGGCCCTGGCCCAAGCAGATGCCCAGTCAGTGGCCATCACATTAGCAGCTTTATCTGCTCCTGCGGCCCCTGCCTGCTGGGATCCCGCTGCAGCCCGACTGACCGCGTGGCCTCCTGTCTCTGCCTCCGATCATTCTACACATTGGTCCCAGGATTCTTCCGGGAGAGAGATCCGGTCAGATCATGTCCCTGCTCAGAGGCATTCACTGTTTCCCCATTACCAACTGACTGAAACCTGACCCAGCTGGCCCCAGCCTCCCATCCAGTCCCATCGTGCACTCAGGAGAATCTGCAGACACACGTGTGTACAAATGCCCATGTGTACGCACATGTGTACTGTGCACACTCCTGGGCGCACACAGGCGTCTTTGTGCTCACAGCGCGCGCAGGTCCCACAGTAGCACACACGCCGTGCTGTCCAGCCTCTCCCCTGTGCTCAGACCACCCTTTCCCTGCACACTGTATGTGACCACCTCCGCCATGAAGCCCTCACCCCCCCCCCCAGCTCTTCCACCACATCTCACCACATACCTCATCTCACGGCACGCACAAGCTGGCCTCACACAGTACTGACTTACAGGAACGCTGGGCCCTGCACATCCACCTCCCAGCGCGGCCCTGGCCTGGCGTGCTGGCTGCTGCACTCGCCACAGCTCTCAGGGTCTAGAACTGCAGCCGGCTGACCCCTGCTACTATCTGAGGAGAGCGTGCGCGTGAGCCCCCTGAGCACAGAGCCCTGCCGAGCCCACCTTTGTATCTCCCAGCATCCAGCGCGAGTCGCAGACCCACAGGTGCACAGTGTGCGTCCCTTGAATTGCTGGACTGCATTGCTGCACACTCATTTAGAATTCCACCAGAAAGCCAACCCCTGCGCCTTTTCAAACTCTGGCCATTGCAGCTGTGGCAGTAAAGAGAAAAATGGAGTGGGCCTGCTGACCAAGCCTGGCGGAGTGTTCCCAGGTGGTGTTCAGTGCCCTGCTGTGGCTCTGCCCCTTCCTCCCAAGAGAGGAAGCACAGCCCAGGACCCTCGCGATTTGTCTCAAAGCCCACTTTCTGCTGCCCCAGCAACTCATTTCCAGCATGCTCTGTCTCTTGTGTGGCCTTTGGTGCCAAAAACTATAGAGAGGCACCCCCAAAAGTGTCTCCCCCCCCTCCCCTCCAGACCACGAGTTCCCTAGGGTAAAGGCCCCATTTATTTGTCTCCACGTGTTCCCAGCACCCAAGTGCAAGAGCAGGTGCTCATTAGATGCTGACGGAAGGCAGACAGGGAACCGTGGCCCAGTGGTTTCACCACCATTCTTCTGTGAAAGTCAGGAATGAGATTTTTCACATGCACGCCAGCCCTCCGTAACTGCAGCTACACACGGCACTAGAATTGCATTTGCATTTGCCATTGGCATTGACATCTGAAAGACATCTGTTGACCCAGTCCCTTTGGATCTGCTTCTATACGATGTCCGACTTGACCCCGCTTCTTCCTGCTCAGACAGCCCCTCACAGCAGCAAGAGTTAATCCTATGTAATTAACTTCTTCTGTGCTTCGGACGTCTGTATGCCTCTAAGAGCTGTAATTCCATCCAATTTTGAAATTCTTCCAGCTCTGCTTTCGGTCTTTCTCACCCCACATCTAATGTATCCTCAGGTCACATAACCCAGAAAATCGTTCCCTTCAGGGACGCTCTAAGAATTGAGATACAGTAAACTCAAGGGGGAAACTTCAAGAGCTGTGGCTGGGCTCCCTGCTCAGGTTTGCACAGTGAGAGCAAAAGGCAGGGAGGGCGGCCCGGGCGACGGGGAGAAACGCGAACAGGAAGTGCGGGGCTCTGGGCCACAACGGCAGGAAGAACCCAACCGCCTGCCCTCACATACTTTTCTTTGCAGAAAATGAGATTTAAAAAAAAAAAAAAAACACACACACACTTGCCTTGCCTACATCATAAAAAGCCTGCACGTCCACTCCCTGGGAAACCTCATCTCAGGCAGACCGAGCTCCGGGTGGTGGAGAGAAATGGCAGCCTTGTGGGACAGTCTTTCCGATGCCAGGGGAGGCAGTTAGGAGGGTATGAGCCGTGATTACTAAAATTACAGCCGGTTTCAGGTCAGAGAACCAAGTACAAAGTGCCAGCCAGTCTCCAGATGGCCTCTTTTTCCTCGTCCCTCGTCACCTTTGTGTTTGACATTCGTCACCCTGTGATGAGAGGCAGGAATTCCAAAGCCATAAAGGCAGGAGGGAGGCCCCGAGCGCTGCTCTCGGCTCTCTGTGGGGCCAAGGCCGCGTCCAGAGTCCCTGGTTCCTCCTACGACCTAGATTCTCTGCCGCCCAGCGCCTGCCCCAGCGCGCGCATCCGCACACGTCCTCGGCGACACCAACGGTCGCATTTGATGTCAGAATCTCTGAAGCGGGCTGTTCTCAGCAGTTCTCAAGCTCAGATGTGGGCCGCACTTTCAGTTCTTCAGAACCCACGGTGGCGCTCGGCACACACACGCAGAAGGCGGCACAGGACTCGTGGGCCCCGCCGGGGCCTGCGGAGCGGGAGGGCAGGGGCGTCTTCTCAAAGAGGAGCCGCGTGCTCTCCTGATGTCCACGCGGGCTGCGCGAGGCCCCGGGAGGGCTGATGGACTGGCCCGGGATCACACAGCTCGCGGCACAGCCAGGCCGGGGGACGCTGCGTGCGCGGCTTCCCCGGGACGACTCTGGGAGGCCGGGCACCCCAGCAGCTCGCCGCTCCTCCTCCTCCTGCGCTTTCTCTCCGAGAGAAGCCATCGCCCCCTGCGCAGTCTCCCAGGCTGCAAGCCGGCGCCGCCCCAGAGCCCCCTTCTCCCTCTGCCCCCCGGGAATGTCCCCAAACGCTGCCGGTCTCGATTCCTGCCTCAGAAATGTGTCCTCGCCCCTCCCGGGCCCCGGCCGCTGTCCTCTCTCGCCTGGAGGGCAACACGCGGCCTCCTGGCCCTGTGTCCCGACTCACACGCGGCTCCCGCTTCCCTCTGAGGCTCCCCCCGTCCTTTCTCTGCCCAGCACCCCTGAGTGGGCCCGTAAGTTTCAGGGTAAGACTCCAGGCTCTCCAACACGGCCCACAGACCGCCATTCCTGGATTCCCACCCCCAACCCCAGCCGGCCTGCGTGTTCCGTTCCCAGGATGCACCACGCCCCTCGTGACCCGGAAGTGGATCCTCGGCCACCTGCCTTTCCCCGAGTGATTTCTGGCGCCGCCGCCCCCGGGCAGGTGGCCGCTGCTCCCGGCTTTCCTATCCGTCTTCCGGCACCTCCTTTATCACAGGGCTCCTAGCCGTGACGACATTTCTGCCACGGGAAACAGACGCTCAGGGTGGCTTAATCGTGACGGAGATGGACGGTTCCTCCCGCGTGCAGGAGCAGGCGGGCTCCGGGTGGTCCGTTCAGGGGCGCCGCGAGGGTCTTGCCGGCTTCTGCTCCGTCGGCCTCGCCGGGAGCTGTGCACGGCGATGTCGCGCGCTTCAGATGCTCCCGTGGGCGCGGCACCGTCTCTTCCCGCCGCGAGCTCGTTTTCTGAAGTAACCGGGAGCCACGCAGAAGCAAGCCTAGTGGGTAGTACAGCCACGAAGGCAGGGATCGCTCGTGGGGCGGCCGGATAGCCGCGAGACAGAACTCTCGCTTTTGCTGGGCGCAGGCTCGCAGAGCAGGCTCAGGAAGGGCATCTCGACGGTCCTGAATTCTGCCCCAAAAATCGTGCAGTGAAACCAGCCGGGTAGAACTCGTGCTTCCGAAGCTGGCCCCATTCCGGTGTTTACGTCTAAAAAATAAAAACCAGTTCGGTTTTTAAATGTTTCCTGGCTACCTGGAAAAGAAGAAGAGCAACAATGGAGCGGCTGTTTGCCTTGCCACCCTCCGCCCAGGCGCTGAAGATCCCAGACAAAGGAGTTTCCCAAAACACACGGGGAAAAGGGGGGGTGGGGGTGGGAGGCACGAGTCTGCAGCAATAACTCGGGGTCCAGAGAAGCGAATCTGCAGACACAGACCCACCGCTGCCTCCGCGGGCCTCGGGAGCTTCCCAGAGCTGCTGGTAGCTCCTTTCCCTCCACCTGGCAAAGGGTGCTCTGGGCTCGGCCCCTCTGTCTGGCTGTTCTGGGGTCCTCACTGCAGTGTCTTTGTCCTGTGTCCTCTCCCTGCCTGTAGGTACTCAGCAACCAAGAGGAGTGGTTCAAGGCGGAGCTGGGGAGCCAGGAAGGCTACGTGCCCAAGAACTTCATAGACATCCGATTTCCCGAGTAAGTCGGCCGGGCCTGCCCACACACACTCCCTTCCCTCTCCCGGGCGGGCAGAGGTGCCGCCACCAAGGGCTGCCTCTGGCGCTCCCTCCAGAGCTTCCAGAAGGCCGGGCTGGGAGGGAGATCTGCATCTGTTGGCTTCCATGCCACGTGGCTGTGTAGCCTATTTTAAGTTCTGACAAAGTGAGTTTGTCAGCTAGAATCTGTGATGAGAGCCGGCCCAGGGTTTCTGGGATTTCCCACGGGGGCGCTGTTGGCCAGGGCTCTGCTCTCCCTCCTGAGCACGGATCCCAGCCCGGCCTGGCCCTTGGTGCCAGGTGGGTGTGTGGCTCTGCAGCCTGCTGGCTCCGGAGAGAGAAGTCGGGGAGAGCAAAGGGAATTCCCTTCCTAAAGAGGAAGTGAGAAGTTGAGATTGGGCCTCCTTTGTCTCAAGAATTGACCACAAGGGTTAGATAGAAATCTGGTCTTGTGTCACAGCCGGGCCGTGGCCTGAACAGCGGAGGTTTGTTAGAAAGCCAGAGCGGCGCAGCAGGGCTCCCGGTGACCCCGCGCTGACCCCTGGGCCAATGCGGGGGCCACCTGACCTTGGCTGGGCCCCGGATGCTGCCTGGAATCCGCCCCTGGCCACGTCGTACCTTCTCTGGACTCAAACCTGCAGCCCCTCCACACCTCACTGGGACCATGGACGGTGCCAGAAGAGAGGCTGCCTGACCCCGCCCCTCCTGGCCCCCACACCCCGCCTCCTGGAGCTATACTCAGACTCCGCCTTCCCTGCAGCTGCCTGGAAGGGGCGGCTCCGAGCAGGCCCCCCCCACAGCAGCCCTCTCCCTGTGCCGTCCCCCCCACAGCAGCCCTCTCTCTGTGCCGTGCTCCCCCCCACAGCAGCCCTCTCCCTGTGCCGTCCCCAACACAGCAGCCCTCTCCCTGTGCCCCCCCACAGCAGCCCTCTCCCTCTGTGCTGTCCCCCCCACAGCAGCCCTCTCCCTGTGCCGTCCCCCCCACAGCAGCCCTCTCTCTGCGCCGTCCCCCCCCACAGCAGCACCTCTCTCTGCGCCGTCCCCCCCAAGAGAGTTCCCTCCCCTGTGCCGTCCCCCCCCACATCAGCCCTCTCCCTGTGCCGTCCCCCCACAGCAGCCCTCTCCCTGTGCCCCCCCCACAGCAGCCCTCTCCCTCTGTGCCGTCCCCCCCACAGCAGCCCTCTCCCTGTGCCCCCCCCACAGCAGCCCTCTCCCTCTGTGCCGTCCCCCCCACAGCAGCCCTCTCCCTGTGCCGTCCCCCCCCACAGCAGCCCTCTCCCTGTGCCGTGCTCCCCCCCACAGCAGCCCTCTCCCTGTGCCGTCCCCCCCCACAGCAGCCCTCTCCCTGTGCCGTCCCCCCCCCACAGCAGCCCTCTCCCTGTGCCGTCCCCCCCACAGCAGCCCTCTCCCTGTGCCGTGCTCCCCCCCACAGCAGCCCTCTCCCTGTGCCGTCCCCCCCCACAGCAGCCCTCTCCCTGTGCCGTCCCCCCCACAGCAGCCCTCTCCCTCTGTGCCGTCCCCCCCCCCAAAGCAGCCCTCTCCCTGTGCCGTCCCCCCCACAGCAGCCCTCTCCCTGTGCCGTGCTCCCCTCAACAAACACCAGGGCTTCATTTTCCCTTCTTACCAGGCTACCGACCAACAAAACCCAAAGCCCTCCACCTCGGATCCCCTCCTGGCTTCCGCCCTTTTCTCTCTCAACTCCTCTGCCATTGTCTCTGCAGCCCCCAGGACGCCTTCAAAACCGGTCCTGTCAAGGTCAAGGTCACAGTGGTGGCAGGTCCCAGGGTGGGAGGGCTCCCTCCCTGCCTCAGAAGCCTGGGTGTCCAGACCCGGTCTCTGCTCCTCCTCTTTGCTCGCCCCGTCCCTGCCGCTCCTCAGTCTCCGACGCTGCCTCCTCCTCACCTCCCCGCACTCCTTCAGGTCTAGAACAGAGACAGACAGACAGACAGACAGACAGGGCTTCCGTCTGCCGGCTCATTCCCCAAATGCCTGCAGCGGCAAGACGGACCCAGGCCAACGCTGGGAGCTCGGCTCCAGCTCCAGCTGTTCTGCCTGCAATCCAGCTCCTTGCTGTGGCCTGGGAAGGCAGCAGAGGACGGCCTGGGTGCTGGGGCCCTGCACCCACGTGGGAGACCCAGACGGAGTGCCAGGGTCCTGGCTCCAACCTGGCCCAGCACCTGTCGTTGCAGCCATTTGGGAAGTAAATCAGTGGATGGAAGATATCTCTCTCTTTCTCTCTCTCTGTGCCCCTCCCTCTCTCTCTGTCTTTCTCTCTCCCTTTCCCCCTCTCTCTATCTCTTGCTCTCTCTCTGCCTTTCAAATAAATAATTTTTTTTGACAGACAGAGTGGACAGTGAGAAGGAGAGACAGAGAGAAAGGTCTTCCTTTTTCTGTTGGTTCACCCCTCAATGGCCGCCGCGGCCGATGAGCTGTGGCTGGCGCATGGTGCTGATCGAAAGCCAGGAGCCAGGTGCCTCTTCCTGGTCTCCCATGCAGGTGCAGGGCCCAAGCACTTGGACCATCCTCCACTGCCTTCCCGGGCCATAGCAGAGAGCTGGACTGGAAGAAGGGCAACAGGGACAGAATCCAGTGCCCTGACCGGGACTAGAACCTGGTGTGCCAGCGTCGCAGGCGGAGGATTAGCCTAGTGAGCCGCGGTGCCGGCCAATATATAAATATTTTTAAAATAAGATAAATTTCCATTAGAGAGGAATTGTATATTTCCCACCCACCCCCACTTTCTGTGGCCTCTTCTAAAAACATTCCTTTGCAGTCTGGCAACTACGGGGTGCACCCGCTCCTCGTCCTATGCCACCCTCCATGCTAGATGGGTTGCAATGCAGTCACGGGCTCACCAGGCCCCAGAAACCCCTGCCAGCGTCCCTGCGGCCGCAGTTCTGGGTGAATACCTCCCTCTGAAGTCCTCAGTTCTGAGAGCCTGGAGACGGCACCTGTCTGCCAGGGACAGCGTAGGCTTCTGGCGGCAGCATCGAGAGCAGCCACCTCAAAGCAGGGTGACCCAGTCCCGCCTTTGGCCACCGAGCTGCCCAGTGCTTGCAGGAGGAGTCCAGCCTCCTGCCCGTGGCTGCAGCCTCCGTTTGCCGTGTCCTGTGTGAACGTGACCTCCCGCGTGCACACAGCCGCCATGTCCCATGCAGCTGCACCACAGGGGCTGCCACCTGACAGCAGCTGCTTCTCCATTTCTTCTTGTCCACTGCGGAGATGCTGTCTCCGCCTGGATCTTTGGGTAGGACCCAGGAGCCCCATGGCTGCAGCCAGCCCCGCTCACACTGCAGCTCGTGTGTGTGTGTGTGTGTGTGTGTGCACGCATGGGCCTCTCCTGGCACCAGGCAAAGCCCCCGGTGCTCCGTGCGGGGAGACGTGCCCGGGTCACTGAGCTCTCAGCCAGGGAGGGAGTGCTGGGCCTGGTTGCCCCCACCCCCACCCACCCCATCCCCCACCCCCCTGCTGTGGCCCCTCCCCAGGCTGCTCCTGCAGGGTTTCCTAGCCTCAAGCAGCGCACTTTTCTCGACTTCTCCAGGAGGGAGGGAGCCTCCACGGTGAGTCAGGGATGCTGTCTTGCCTGGAGCCTTCGTCTGGCTCTGGATGCCGGTGGCCCCCAGCCCCCCACTGCTGCACAGAGCCCCTCTGAGCCCCCTCCTGGCCCTGGAGTGGCTCACCAACATCCTCCTGTTGTCTCTTGCCCCACAGGTGGTTTCATGAGGGCCTCTCCAGACACCAGGCCGAGAACTTGCTCATGGGCAAGGAAGTTGGGTTCTTCATCATCCGGGCCAGCCAGAGCTCCCCAGGGGACTTCTCCATCTCCGTCAGGTACTGGCCACTCCCAGCACCTCCACCCACCCACCTTTCCCAGCCTGCAGCCCCCACAGCTGAAGCCACAGGGTGACCTCGCAGTGTGGCCCAGTGGTCAGAAGCATGGTGGCAAAGTGGGTGACACTGTCACTTCCTTCCCGGAACTCACAGACGACACCTGCTGCCCCCCCCCCCCCCAGTGCAGGTGCTTCCAGATGAGTGTCACTCAGCGCCTGCACCGTGCATGGTCCAGCAGTGCGTGGCGGGGCGGGGGGGGGGGGGGGGCGGGGGGCTCAGCTCTCAACCTCCCCTGACTTGCTGTCTAAAGAGGGAAAAGCAGAAAATCAGAGTCACTGCTGGAGGCTGCACTGGCAAGAGGTCTTCAAAAAGTTCATGGAAGTTTATAACACGAAAAACTAGGCATGGATTTCAAAGTAGTTTCTGCACTAAAATAAGTTTACCTGGTTTGCTAAGAATTTATTTTGAAACAGTTACAGAGAGAGGGAGAAAGAGAGGAGGACTTCCATCTGCTGGTTTGCTCCCCATAACTGCTGGGGCTGAGCAGGCTGAAGCCAGGAGCTCGGAACTCCGTCTGGGTCTCCCAAGCGGGTGGCAGGCAGAGGATTAACCAATGAGCCACGGCGCTGGCCCCTCAACCCTGTTTCTTAAGGGCCCTGATTATAACCAGAACAAGTAGTTTGTCAGGCGCTGAGGCCGTCTTCTGCTTTCCCAGGCGCAGCAGCAAGGAGCTGCATGAGAAGCAGAGTAGCCAGGACCCAGGCAGGAGCTCTGGTACGGGATGCCGGTGTCACAGGCCAGCTTAGCCCACTGCGCCACAACGGCTGTCCTTAAACTTGCCTTTGAATGCCATGTTTCCATGAGGGTTGGAAGAACCCTCATCTAGTCGTGAAGAAAGGCGGTTTCAACACAGAACCGTGCAGCAAAACTGAGACCAGAGCTGAGCCAAGGAGGGCCCGAGGGGGGCAGGGGACCGCAGCAGCGGGATGTCGCTTCTGAGTGGCACCTGGGAGGAAGTGACTCAGGCCAGCACAGACATGACACAGCCCCAAACTCAGAGGCCCCAAGTCTGACCACATTGCATGTGGTCAGCATGTGGGGGATTGCAAGTCACATATCAGATTTGGCGACCACATGTGAAAGTACAAGAAATAGTGCTGAGAGCAGATTAGGAGACGCCATGACAACCGGTGCAGCCAAAGCCAACTGTCAAGTTTGCTGACAGGAAGTCCTGGTCTGCGTTGTTCTGTAAGTTTTGAAAGGCAAGTCGCTTTATTGCTTTGAGTAAGAAACCTAATCTCTGGAAACAACCCGTGGCCACTTTACTGTATTTTTTACTAAGAGTTGATATTCAAAAAAATAGGTAAGCAGGACCACAGATATGAGGGTAGCGCACAAAGCTTGTGGAAACTGGAGTTAAAAGACAGCTGTAGTGGGGCAGGCAATGTGCAGCAGTGGGTTAAACCACAGCCTGGGATGCCACAGCCCGTAAAGGAGCACCTGGCATCAGATTCTTCCTCCACTTCCAACGCGGCTCCCTGCTAGTGTGCCTGGGAGGCGGCGGATGGTGGTCTGAGTATTTGGGTCCCTGCTGCCTACATAGGACGCAGTGATGGAGTTCCTGGCTCCTGGTCCAGCCTGGTTTCGGCCTTGGCTGTTGTGGGCATTTGGGGAGTAAGTCACTCTCTCGCTCTCGCTCTCGCTCTGCTTTCAAATAAACTTATAAAATTAAACTACATGTTTATTTTGGTGCAAAAAAAATTGAAATCTATGAATGGAAGTGTGTTAAAAAAATTCACGGAGGCTGGTGCCACAGCTCACTAGGCTAATCCTCCGCCTGTGGCGCCGGCACCCCGGGTTCTAGTCCTGGTTGGGGCGCCGGATTGTGTCCCGGTTGCCCCTTTTCCAGGCCAGCTCTCTGCTGTGGCCCGGGAAGGCAGTGGAGGACGGTCCAAGTGCTTGGGCCCTGCACCCCATGGGAGACCAGGAGGGAGCACCTGTGAATCGGCGCAGGGTGCCAGCCGCAATGTGCTGGCTGTAGCAGCCACTTGGGGGGTGAACCAACAGAAAAAGGAAGACCTTTCTCTCTGTCTTTCTCTCTCTCACTGTCTAACTCTGCCTGTAAAAAAAAAAAAAAATTCACGGAAAATGTATATTGGGGGGAAAATGCATAGATCATTAAAGAAAATTTGCAACCAAATAAGCTTCTCTTTCAAATGTATTTGAAGGCTTCCTGGTGGGCCAGCCCTCTGTGAGCACGGGAGCCTAACCTGCTGGAGGGTAGCCTGGGCGCTGCAGCCTTGCCCTGTGCTCTTGCGAAAACTCTCGGTTATCCATAGCCAGGACATTCTTTGTCCTCCTTTGGGTGATCATCACTTTAGCTCAGTCAATACTGATGCCTCACAGATTCCAAATGTGTTACAGTATATAAAATCTTGCTCCATGAATACATTTTACAAATCAACCCTATTTCTTTATTTTTTTAAAAGACTTGTTGTACTTGAAAGGCAGAGTTACAAAGTTGGGGGGAGGGGGAGAGATATCTTCCATCTGCTGGTTCACTCCACAGATGGCTGCAAAAGCCGGGGCTGGGCCAGGTGAAAGCCAGGAGCCAGGAGCTTCATGCAGGTCTCCCACAAGGGTGCAGGGGCCCAGGCACTTGGGCCATTCTCTGCTGCTTTTCCAGGCGTGCTAGCAGAGAGCTGGATTGGAAGTGGAGCAGCTGGGGCTCCCCCTCAACCCTGTTTGTTTTTTTTTTGGTTTTTTTTTGGTTTTTTTTGTTTTTTTGTTTTTTTGTTTTTTTTTTGACAGGTAGAATCATAGACAGTGAGAGAGAGAGACAGAAAGGACTTCCTTCCATTGGTTCACTCCCCAAATGGCCACCACAGCTGGTGCTGCGCCGATCCAAAGCCAGGAGCCAGGTGCCTCTTCCTGGTCTCCCATGCGGGTGCAGGGCCCAAGCACTTGGGCCATCCTCCACTGCCCTCCCAGGCTACAGCAGAGAGCTGGACTGGAAGAGGAGCAACCAGGACTAGAACCCGGCGCCCATATGGGATGCTGGCACCGCAGGCAGAGGATTAACCAAGTGAGCCACGGCGCTGGCCCCTCAACCCTGTTTCTTAAGGGCCCTGATTATAACCAGAACAAGTAGTTTGTCAGACTGAAGGGAATCTCTTAGTGCCTTTTTTTTTTTTTTAGATTAATTTTATTTATTTGAAAGGCAGAGTGACAGAGAGAGATCTTCCATCTGCAGATTCACTCCCAAATGGCTGCAACAGCCAGGGCTGGGCCAGGCCAGAGCCAGGAGCCCAGACCTCTACCTGGGTCTCCCCTGTCGGTTGCAGGGGCCCTTGTGCTTGGGCCAGCTTCGGCTGCGTTTCCTTGGTTCCTTAGCAGGGAGCTGGATTGGAAGTGGAGCAGCCGGGGCTCACAGCAATGCTCCAGTATGAGATGCCAGCCTTGCAGGCAGCGGCTTAGCCCTTGAGCCACCACGCCAGCCCCGGGGCTTGGCTTGCACGGTGGTGACTGTGGCTTTTTCAGCTAGGATCATGGTTTGAATGTCCCTGGCTGAAATGAATTCTCAGGAGTCAGCCTTGGCCCTCTCTGACGTCGAAGCAAGGCAGCGTCATTGCGGTGACTGCTCCCGTGAGTGCCGCGGAATCCCGTGCAGATGTTGTATGAAATATTCCGAAGCAACGTCGTTTTTACTTACTTCCGCCTGTGACAGGGAAGAGCTCCTGTAGCCCCTCCGCGCTGGGAAGGGTCTGCAGAGCTGCGCTGGGAGCCTGGAGCCTGAGTGACGGACGTGCTTGTCTGTGCGCCCACTCTCAGGCCTGGGTCAGGGGTGAGACCATCCTCTCTCCGTGGACCCGGGTGACCAGGGCAGACCTGACAGCACAGGGGCCTGGAAGGGCCGGGCTTTAAGCTGAGTTCCCTGACTCCGAGGTGGTGCAGAAATGATCAGGAGAATCTCCCCTCTGCGGAGTAGGGACTGTGAGTTGAGCCACATGGCGTTGGGGGGAGGAGGCTCTGTGAGTGGCTACAACCAGGGGGAAGACCGTGCAGGAATGGCCCGAAGCTGTCAGGTGAGCACAGCCCTGGCTCCACCTGCTGTGCGCGCACCCAGCAGGCAACCTGAGGTTGAATCAGAATTTCCACAGACCGCTCAGCCCATCCCTCGGAAACCTCCTGTAGCCTTCGACACATCTCCACTCCCAGAGCCCTTTCAATTCCTGAACTTGCTGCAGATCAGAAAACTTACCTCACTGATTAAGGCCAGGGTGTCTTTAAATGGAATGTGTGTCCCACTGAAGGAAGACTCTGCCCAAAACCTGGCGATAGATATGGTGAGACTCCAGCAGGGAGTAGACTCAGGCGTCTCTTTCCAGATGGTAAAATCCAGCTTCTCCTAGCCCGCACGGTGGTCCCCACCGTGCAGTAGCAAGAGGCACGAGGGGCTGCACTCACCACGCTGGAATCAGAGACCCCAGGTTCCTGCTTCGGGACCGGCGTTGTGGCATAGCAGGTTAAGCCACCGCCAGTGATCCAGCATCCCATGTGAGCACCAGTTCGCGTCCCGGCTGCTCCACTTCAGATCCAGCTCCCTGCTACCCTCTGTCTCCATAAATAGTTTAAAAATACAAAAAAGCTTCTTCCCTCAACTCCGTCAGTCCCTCAGTGACCTTGACCAAGGCCTCTGCACCTCTCTGAACCTCGATGTCGGCCCCTGTGGAATGGAGAAGTAAAGCTGAACCTTCTCCAAGGTCTTTTCCCATCGAGCTCTACAACTCCATGTAATATTTTGTCCCCAAAAGCTCAAAATACTTTGTAGCCTAATTTATGCGAAGCACTGAACAAGATCAAGAGCTCCTGCTTGCCCTGAGAGCAGACGTGACAAATTTCGGAGGGAGGAGAGGCGCGCAGAGCAGCGCTCACCTGCCCGTGCTGGTGGATGGGCTCAAAGGAGCTAGTTCAAAGCGTTTGTGATAACAGACCGATAACAAGGGCCTCGAAAAACCCCTCGGAGGTGGGGTCCTTAGCACGGGACACGGCTCAGGCGTTGCCATGTTCCCGGTAAACATGGGGAAAGGCCCTTGATCGCGTCGTCTTTAAGGCCCTTTGAACATTCTTTTCCTTGTAAAAGCTTGGCTGTGGTGACCAAAACAGATCTGAGCTTCCCTGATGCCCACGCCAAGGTAGGAAACCCCTCTAATGCACCTGTGTCCTGAGTGTGCCTCCCTGACACCCCTGCTCCGTGAGGGGGCGGGGTCACTGTGTCCGCCAGGCGTGGACACGAGCAGCCCTGGAGGCAGAGCCGCGTCACCCCTAACACAGCCTGGGTCTGCCTTGGCCTGCAGGCATGAGGATGACGTCCAGCACTTCAAGGTCATGCGTGACAACAAGGGGAACTACTTCCTGTGGACCGAAAAGTTCCCCTCCCTAAACAAGCTGGTGGACTACTACAGGACGACGTCCATCTCCAAGCAGAAGCAGATCTTCCTGAGGGACAGGGCCCGAGAGGATCAGGTACGCCCCAGGGCCCAGTCAACTTCCAGTCGCTCCGGGAGCCACCACAACCGTGCACGGGGTGGGAGGGCACCGCCCCTGAGGGTGCTCAAAGACAGACCCACTCTGAAGTCGGAGTTCCAGCGTAGTAACAGGTCAACACTTTCTACCCGCGGGACTTTGGAGAGTTGTCTGATCCTTAGTTTGCTCCTCCGTAAAATGGGGCAATAGTGATGTGACCCTCACAGCCTGGTTGTGAAGCTGAGAGAGGAAGGCGTGGGCCCCGGCTCTTACGCCATTCCTGATCGCACCGCAAGTGCGCAACAGACGTTAGCTCATATCGTGGGTGCTGGTGTTTGGTCATTTGTACAGGTGGGATGCCGGCAGTGGTCCAAGGAGGGAGTTGGGGAGGGCTACAGACAGGGATGCTTCAGACCAGCCCGTGTCGCAGTGAGCTCTGTGACAGGGCTTGGGTGGCGGGCGGTGAAGGGACCCTGGAGGGGGAGACCCGGCCTGGGAGTTCTGCTCTTAGAATTACTTAGAGCGAAGAGGACTGTTGTCTTCAAAATGCATCAGACAGAACCGGCGTTGACTCCTGGCTGAATCGTCAAGTAGCCAAGATAAGGAGTGTGTCGGAGCACCAGTGCCTTGCATTTGCAGACCGGAGGGGTCTGGAAGGGTCCAGTGAGATCACACCGAGCGCCCTGCCACCGAGCCGGTCCACGCAGGCACGGAGGAAACTTTCAGTGGCCTCCCATAGGGACATTCAGACACACAGTCTGCAAAGGTTGTTCAGAGCACCCAGCAGGCTCTTGAGCCACAGGCCGCCCGGGAGGCAGCGCCGGGCCGCAGGGTGGAAATCCTAGACACAGGCTGTCTGGGCAGGCATGAGGCGTGCGTGTGCTGGGGGAGTGGGGAACCCACGGCTGCCTTCAGGCGGGGGAGTTACAGCGGAGGCGGCGAGGGCTTCCCCACCAGCGCACACCAGGTTCAAAGGGGGAAAATGGTGACCTCAGAGCTTGTGAATGATTTTAACCAGGAAAAGGACAGAGAAATTGACTTCCCGGGATGCGCATTCCCAGATGAGTGGCAATATGAAATTGGATTAAGCTGCATTAAATGAGTTAGTGTTTATAAAGCGCTTAGGACAGCGTCTAGCATATACCGTGCCCGGGGCCCTGGGTAATTGTTTGTGAAATAAAAGCAGCCACAGTGATTCTGATTCATAGGCAGCCGGGCAGGCAGTAAACAGGCCTCGGCCCTTCCCAGAGCCCAGCACGGGCACGGCTGGTTTCCATGGTGCTGCCTGCTGCTGTTTGGGCCTCTGTCTCCAGGCTCCAAAGGACAGTTCAAAACCAGGCGGAGCCCACAGCTGAGCTGTGTGCCGGGGGGATGTCCAGGCAGAGCCCACAGCTGAGCTGTGTGCCGGGTAGATGTCCAGGCGGAGCCCACAGCTGAGCTGTGTGCCAGGGGGATGTCCAGGCGGAGCCCACAGCTGAGCTGTGTGCCGGGTAGATGTCCAGCGGCGTGGCCACACGTGCCACGCAGGGCTGGCGCTGTGTCTGTAACACAGAACAGCTAAGCTTGGTGGGCATGAGCGGGCAGGGAGCGGAAGTGTTCATCCCGAGCTCCCCAAACGGGAACCACCGCGGATCACAGAGGCCGCGCTGGGGCCTTCGAGGGTCCAGCTGTGGTTGCTGCCAAAGCTGCCCAGCCGGAAATGGCTGCCCATCAGGGTGGGGCTGAGGGGTCGGCCCGGAGGAGCCCGGGGCTACATCACGTCTGTCCTCCCTTGCAGGGTCGCCGAGCCAACAGCCTGGACTGGAGGCCCCAGGGAGGCCCCCACCTCAGCGGGGCCACGGGAGAAGAGATCCGGCCGGCCGTGAACCGGAAGCTGTCGGACCACCCGCCCCCCGTGCCCTCGCAGCACTCCCCGCACCCGCCGCCGCCCCAGCACTACCCACAGCACCACCATTTTCACCAGGTACCTCCCAGATGAGGTGGGGAGCATGAGGCCTGGCCCCGCGGCGTCAGGTCTCCGAGTCACCAGGAAGCCCCTGAGCCCCCAGGTGGCACGAGCGTGCAGACCACGCTCAGGAGAGATGTTTCCACAAGTGAAACAGCTCACAGCGTGAACACATGCACACATATACACACGCGCACACGTGTGCAGTCGTCCCATTCCCCATCCCTCCTGCCCAGATGTGTTGCCATCCACAGGCAGGAGCAGGGTTAACCTCGGCCACCGACCGGCCTCGCTTACTTGGTTCTCGCCCACCTCGTTCCAGATGGGATGTCAAGTGGCTACCGAGCCGGACAATACGCCAGATAGCATCGCTGCTGAATTCCTTAGCGGGCACACAAGTCCTTTGGGGGTGGCCCAGATCTATTTCCCCAGCTTCCTCTCCCGCTCGTGGCCCCAGGCAAACACATTCCAGCCACGCTGCACTACAGCCAGGTACCCAGCGTCTGGTGGTTTTCTCTACGGCTCTGTGGATGCTGCTGTGCCATCCCCCGGCCTGAGTGCCCTTCCTGGCCAGTCCCTCATTTACAGTTTTTAATTAATCTATTTGAAAGCACGACAGAGATTTTCCATCTCTCCTTGTTCTCCGTCCAAATGCCCACAACAGCAGAGGCTGGGCCAGGCTGCAGCCGGGAGCCTGGAACACGGTCGGGGTCTCCTGTGTGGGTGCCAGGGCCCCAGCACTTGGGCCATCATCTGCTGCCTTCCGGGGCACATGAGCAGGAGGCACGGAGGAGCAGGGATTCCAGCAAGAACTCTGATAGAGAATGCACCGCGTGGCCCCACCTCCCTACGCCTTCTTCAACCTGTCGTTTAAGCATCTCTCCCTCCCTGAGCCTCTCCTGATCTCTCAGGCAGACTTACCCCCCCCCCCCGCCCCGCTCGCCCACTGCCCACTTTAATGTGGGAACTCCATGAGCTTCACGACCTCCCCCCAGCTGGAGGAGGGCACTGCAAAACGTTCATGGGGACTGGGATTGTAAGATGTCCATTTCAGTGTAAAGAGTTTTGAGAGCCAGGCACAGCTTTTTCGTGATACGCATTTCAGACATTCTGGAGACACCCCCGTGCACAGATGTCACATTTTTGCACCCCAGTCAACATCACTTCACCCCCTTTTCCATGATCTTTCTGAAGTACCCACTTGTGTCCCCGATGTTGGTGCGGTGGCACGCGGTGGTGCCTGGTGAGTGCTTCTCCATCGAATCCGTGCCCCTGCCCTGGCCTGGGCCTTCGGACTCTGAGCGCCCTCGGTCCCCACCCCTGTGTCCCCATCGTCTGAGGTTCAGGGTCACTGTCGGCGAGTGTTCCTGGCATCCTGGCTGTGTCTGTGCATCCTGAGGGGTGGCCCCTGCAGCAGACTGACGGGTCCTCCACCACCCCTGTTTCTAGGATCGCCGTGGGGGCAGCCTGGACATCAACGACGGGCACTGTGGCGTGGGCATGGGCAGTGACGCGAATCCGGCCCTCATGCATCGGAGACACACGGACCCGGTGCAGCTGCAGGTGGCGGGGGTAAGGCAGCTGTGCCCGCCTGGGCTCCCCGGGGGATGGAGGGGGTGAGCGAGGCAGGGAGGGGTCCGACTGCACAGAGCTCATTTGGGCCTGGCCCTGTCCTGTTTCTCGGCTCCAGTTTGAGCACTGGGAGCTGAGTGGCCTTGATCATCCAGACCCACCATCACCCGGGGCCTAATTGCACGGGGCGTTGCTCTGAGCCTGTGGCCTTTGAGCTTGTCACGTGCAGAAAATTAACACGGCGCCTGTGGGCAGAGAGAGCAGGTCTCAGGGGTTCCCCCGGGGCCTCGCAGACTCAGTGTCCGGCGGGGAAAGTCGTGGGTCTCGGGAGTGAGGCTGCCGAGGTCCGGGGACGCCAGCGCAGCCCGGGACTCAGCGGGGCCCCTCTGCTTGCACCCGCAGCGCGTGCGGTGGGCGCGGGCGCTGTACGACTTCGAGGCCCTGGAGGACGACGAGCTGGGCTTCCGCAGCGGGGAGCTGCTGGAGGTCCTGGACAGCTCCAACCCGTCCTGGTGGACCGGCCGCCTGCACAGCAAGCTGGGCCTCTTTCCCGCCAACTACGTGGCGCCCACGACGCGCTGAGCCCGCCAGGGTCCCGACGCCTCTGTCTGAAGCCGCCCGCGCGGGGGTGGGCAAGGAAAGGAGCCGGGGCACGTGACTGCACACGCACGCATGCGCAGACGGGCGTGCGTCCACCACAGTTTGTCGTCGTAATTTATTGGCAGTTGTCTTGGTGAACGAGCTGTAGGAGGAGGAACTCGGGCGGAGAGCAACAGCCGCACTTAATGTCCTCCTCCCTCCCTCAGGGCTGTGCGGAAGACCGGGGGCAGGGGGCGGGAGGGGTGGGGGCAGGGAGACGAACCAGAACTTCCTCCTGTCCGCGAGCTCTGGCCAGTTCCTCCTTGGCTTGGGAATCTTCACGGAGAGAGCGAAGCGAGGCGACAGCCGACAGCGGGCATCGGACACTGGGCCGCAGGTGGGGCGGGTCGAGCACACCTGCCAGGCCCGCTCACCTGCGGGGTTCCCGGGGCGGCTTCGCTCCGCCTCCAGGGGGTGGGCCCTGCTCGATGAGAACCACCGGCACGGAGCCAGCCGAGCGAGCGGGGCGCAGCGTGGAGAGGCCTTGCCCGCGCACGGCCGGCCTCCTGGCCCCGGCCCAGCTGCCTTCCGCCCCCCAGAGGAGCGTCCCTTGCACCATCCTCTCGCCTGCGCTGACGGGCAGTGTCTGCAGCAGAGCCCGCGCTGGGAGGCCGAGGGATTTTCCCAGCTGCCCGTGGCTCACGTGGGCGTCTGCTGTGTCTCCCCAGCTGCAGGGAACGCGACTCCCTGGACCCTGAGGGCCTGCGAGCAGGCGCTAGGGACGCTGGCTCTGAGGGCGCTGTTCGGGGCTCCGCTTGGTCTCCCTCCTGATTTTCTGCTTCGCAGGTGCCTTGCCCGGTGGCACAGACAGAAGGCCGCTTTGTAAGAGCACTGGCGACCGACCCCGGGCCAGCAGCGGGCTGGGCTGCGAGCCTCCCCTCGGGGCTGCCCAGCGCCGGAGGACCCCTAGCCTCCCTCCTCACCTCAGGCTGGAGTCTTGTCCTGTGCCCACCTGGCCGGGCTCAGCGCCTTCCCGGGCAGCCTGGGAGCAAACATGGCTGCGTGGAGGGCACTTAGTGTGTGTGCATGCGTGCAGAGGCGTGTGTTCCGTACGTGTGTGTGCAGCTTGTGTGGGTGTGCATGCGTGTGGATGGGAAAGAGAGCTGCGGGGGGGGGGGGCTGTTCTCGTCCCCAGTCGGCCCTGCTCTGGGGGGGGGGGGGGCTTCATCCAAGGACCTATGAGAAGAGAGGGTCTCTGAGAAGAGAGGGTCTCAGGCTCCGAAGTGACTGCCTGTGTGATGCAAACTGTGTTCCTCGTGCCTCTGATTCTACGACTGTTTGGTCCCCGTGTGAGGACTGGGAGGGAAGAGAAGGCAGCAAACGGCCTGAAGACAGGGCAGGGGGAGCTCCCGCAGGCTGTGGGTCAGGGAGCACGTGGGGACCGGAACCTGAGCCGAGAAGCCACAGAGCAGGGAGGGAGCAAAGGCGACAGAGCCGCCCGCCAGCTGCACGTGTCTGCCTGCCTCTGGGGGCAATTCCACAGAGGCAGGTGGTTCGGTTCTGGTCTAGGCTGTGGTTCCGCGAAGTCGCTGCTGGAGGAAGCGGCCAGGAAGACGGCGCCCTTGCCCTTCTGGGCTGGGGGTGGGGGTGGGGGGCTGTGGTGCCCCACACTGAGGGCCGGCGTGGGACCACAGAGGCCGAGCACTGGGCTGGCGGGCTGGGCAGAGCTGTTGGAACTCCTGGGACTGGGCGTCCTGCTCTTCCAAGGCCGCAGTGGGGGGGATGGCGGAGGGTCACCTGCTGAGGCCCAGAACCGCCTTCACCCTGTCAGTTCCGAAGGCAGGAGTGGGAGAGCCCCCCAACCGCCCAGGAGGAGATGAGCACAGGGGCTGAGCCACCCTGGGGGGTGCAAGGAGCTGCTCCCCGCCCTCCCCTGTCACCCCAGGTCCTATGGTTGGTGAGTCAGTGCCTGGGGAGGGCCTGTTGCCAGCCACTCAGCAGCGCATCACCTGCGACTCTGCAGGACTGGGGAGCGGGACTTTCAGAGAAAAGCCAGTTCCTGTTGGACCTGCAGGGGCCTTCTCATCGCCTCCTCCGGGTCTCACTGCACTTCAAAGACCCCCCCCCCCCACTGCCCACCTGTGGATTGCCCCAGGGTGATTCAAGCTGCTGCTGCTCAGAATTCAAGTCTCAAGGGCTAGCTGGGGCTCATCGGGTGCGAGGCAGAGTGAGTCAGTCCCGTGTCTCTAATAGTCTCCCGGGCGCTGAGGCCACACTGAGTCACGGGGGCCATGAGCTAAACGGCTACAAAATCTAGCTGGATCCTTTTTCTGGAGATAGGCAGCCAGTTTTCTTTGTTGCCAGCCAGTCTGGTCTGGGGACAGGCACAGTTCTGGACAGTCAGCATCGTCCGCATCTGGCGGCGGAGCGATTTCCTCACCTTAGCGTCTGCATCTCCAGGAGGGGCTGAAAACCGAGAGGCGTCCGGATGGAATGCAAACAGGGATTTCCTGAGAGCAGTTGTTTATGTTCACGGATTCATTCTTCATTTATCTGGAAGGCAGAGCGACAGAAAAACCCATCTACTGCTCCACTCCCCAAATGTCTGCAACAGCCAGGGCTGGGCCAGACCAAAGCCAGGAGCCAGGGACTGCCCCCGGGTCTCCTGTGTGAGTGACAGGGACGTGGGGCAGCACCTGCTGCCCCCAGGTACGGGAACTGGGTCGGAAGGAGAGGTGGGGTTCCATCCCAGGCATTCTGATACGGGATGCGGTCCGTCCCGTGTGTCTGCTGTGGCTTAACCTGCCTCACTTGATGCCTTCCCCCATGGTTATTTAAATATCAGCAAGGACTTCAGAAGAAGTTGTGAAAGCTTCTCAGGAAATCGTTAAACATGAGGGTGACTCCCATCAGGTGGGGCCCTACGTGACCTAAGTAGACTTCAGCTAACCCAAGGCAAAGCAGCTCACGTCGAGCACAGATGGGCACGGTCCGGATATTTGCTGTTTGCCCTGTCTCAGCATCTATGCCTGTGCCAGGACAAGGGTGTGAGAAAAGCCCTGATTGCCCAGAACCTCCTGGGACAGGCGTTTAGCCTTGCGGTTAAGGTGCCCGCGTCCCACATCCAAGTGCCCGGGTTTGATACCGGCGCTGGCTGCTGACTGCGGCTTCCCGCTAATGGCTCAGTGATGGCTCAGCAGTCGAGTCCCTGCCCTGACGTGGGAGACCTGGATGGAGTTTCTGGATCTCTGCTTCTGGCGGGTCCAGTGCAGGCTGTTGTGGGCATTTAGAGAGTGAAATGGATGCTGGGAAGTTTGTGTGTGTGTGTGTGTGTGTGTGTCCATTTCTCTCTCAAAGAGGCAAAAACCTTGCCCCAAACTCATTTTTAGCTCAGATGCCAGAGAGCTCTTCTTACAAACAAAACAAACCTCTCCCCATCCCATTGCACTGAGGCTCAAAGCTGAGGTCTTAGCCACGGAGGTCTGCCCCTCGCCCCTTTGCGTTCATGTCCCTGTGCCAGGCCTGCTCCCACCTCCCGGTGCCCGAGGACTCGGCCCGCGAGGCTTTCGCACCTGCTGATGCCTCCGCCTGGAACGCATGGCTCCTCTTCCTCACCTGCTTGCTCTCGCTCGTCTCCAGATCTGAGTTCAATGTCACTTCCTCCCACAGCCCTGCCCTGACAGCTAATTTAAGGTAGTCCATCCTGGCCGACTCAGGAACACTGTGCTGCCCCACATGTGGGCGGGAGTGCTGGACGGGGCCCTGTGACGATTAGACTGTGCGCTCCGTGGGGGCAGGAGTTACTCCGCTCTGTAAGCGGCTGCACACGCAGCGTCTAGCGCTGTGCCTGGCCCAGAAGCTCAGTGACTTCTTGCCCAATGAACACACAAGTGAAACTGCCTTCATCTCATCTCTGCATTCTTGCTGCAGCCCACACGTCTGCGGCTGTACAGACCCGGAGGTGCTGATGCCCGAGTTATCATCGGAGCTTCAGCCACTGCCCCAGGTTCTCCTGCAGGTGCCTCTGAGACTCCGGGAGAGGGAGGGGGAGCTCTCACGGGCCAGGCGCTGGTCTGCTCCTGTCTCCTACGCTGCCTGCGCGTCCTGCTGCACACACCTGCCCTGGTGTTTCAGACCCTCCAGGGCACCACATCTGCCTGCAGTTCATGTGGCAAGGAGGCCGGGGCAGGGCAGGGTGGAGGAGGGTGTTCCTCCCTTCTCGGTGGAGCCCTCACCCCTGTGCCTGAATGAGGACGCCCACCTCCCCCAACCCCATCTCTGGTCTCTCCCCTCTTCTCCACCAATGGGAAAAAAAATGCCCCCAACCGATTCACAGGTGCAGCGGACACACACAGGAAGTGCACCCAGTCGTACAGTCTGGGCTCAGCTAGGAGTCACTCATGAAATCAACAAGTATTTACGACGCTCCTCCAGGGTCGTCAGGTCCTCCGCCTGTCTCCCTCTGTCCTCGCTGCTCCCTGGAGGCCCCAGTGGTCCCAGCACCGCCCCCAAGCCGGCCTCCTCCCAGCTGGCTTCCAAGGCTGCTGCTCTTACTAACTTGCAAAGCAGAGCACAGCAGGCTCCCGGGCTCCCCAGAGCTTCCGCACTGAAGGCATTTCTTGACCTGGCTGCTGCCTGTTGGCTCAGCTGCCTTCCCGTGGCTCCGCTCTCACACGCCCCTGGCACGAGTCCCGCTGAACCAACTGCGGTTCCAGAATCGGCCACACTGTCTCCGGCCTCTCCGGCCTGGACTGTCTGTTCCCTTTACGGGGACTGATTCCTCCCTCCTCCTCTCCCTTTTTTTTTTTTTTCCTGCCCACCAGTGCTGCCCAATGAGACTTTGTGAGATGATGGGAAAGTTGTGTATCTGGTCTGCCCGACTAGCAGCCACTGGCCACATGTGGCTGTGGAACACTTGAAATGTGGCCAGGGCCAGCGAGTGAAGCAGCCACCTGAGAGGAGCTGTGTGAGTCCAGGCAACCGGCACTCACTTTGAAACACGTATCTCGGGCCTCAAGGTCTCCACCGGAAACCATCTCAGCGTCACGCTTGCAGAGCGGCCCCTCCCTGAAGCCCCTGGAACCCCCGTGCTCTGCCCCGGCACTCGGAGCCCTGTGCTGTGGTCAGGGTTCCCGGATCTGCCTCCACCCCTGCGCTGAGTGTTCTTGAGGGCGAGACAAGCGCTTCACTCAGGAAATGGTTGGTGCAGGGTCACAGGGCAGCTTAGCCGCCGGCTCGCCGAGAGAGCGCGGAGCTGCAGCTCGTGCCACGTGCGTGGTGTGAACACCCCACTTGGTGTGAACAACGCCCCCACTGGGGTGGCAAGGGAATGAGAACCAGGCCACAAACTGGGAGGAAACCCTTGCAAAGGGCAAACCTGATAAAGGCCTGTTTTCCAAAATGGGCAAAGAACTCTTAAAACTCAACAATGAGAGAAGGAACAACCAGATGTCTGAATGAAGAAGCACTCCTAACTGCCCAAACTTGGAAGCAGCCAAGATATCCTCCAGCAGATGAGCAGATACACAGATGGAGAAATAAATAAATCCATCAATAAATAACTGGAGTATTGTTCAGCACCAAAACAGAAAGGAGGGGCCGGCACAGTGGCACAGCGCACTAAGCCTCCGCCTGTGGCGCCGGCATCCCATACAGGTGCCGGTTCGAATCCCAGCTGCTCCTTTTCCGATCCAGCTCTCTGCTATGGCCATGGAAAGCAAAAGAAGATGGCCCAAGTCCTTGGGCCCCTGCACCCACGTGGGAGACCTGGAAGGAGCTCCTGGCTTCGAATTGACCCAGCTCCAGCCATTGTGGCCATTTGGGGAGTGAACCAGCGGATGGAAGGCCTCTCTCTCTCTTTCTCTCTCTCTCTGACTCTCTTTCCTTCTGTCTATAACTGTACCTCTCAAATAATCTTTTTAAGTTTAAAAAAATAAAATATTTTTTAAAGTTAAAAAGAAATAGAAACAAGGGGGCCGGCATTGTGGTGCCGTGAACTAAGCCTCCCCCTGCAGTGCCGGTGTTCCGCACCAGAGCACCAGTTCAAGTCCCAGATGCTCTGCTTCTGACGCAGCTCCCTGCTGTGGCCTGGGAAAGCAGTGGGAGGCGGCCCGAGTGCTTGGGCCCCTGCACCCACGTGGGAGACCTGTATGGAGTTCAGGGCTCCTGGCATCCACCTGACCCTCTCTGTTTCCACCTCCTCCCCCCACCATCAAATGCCTTTCAAATAAAATAATCTTTAGAAGAAAGAAATGAGCTCTCAAGTCATGGAAAGACACACAGGATCCCTGCATAATGTCACGGAGTAAAAGAGGCCAGTGCGAAAAGGCTGCACACAATGGGTGTTCCCGCCCCCTGACACCCTGGACAAGGCAGCGGCATCTGCATCGAGAGCCCAGCGCTTGCCCGGGCGGGGCGTGGGGCGGGGAGGAGCAGAGTGCAGAGAGCGGGGAGAGGTGGATTCCGAGGGCGGCGGCGGAGCGGCGCTGTGTGAGGCTGCCGCGTGGATCCAGGCCACCCGTCCGCACGCTGCGCCGTGCCGGAACGAACCTCGCCGTCGCTGTGTGGGTGCAGGTCCATCCGTCGCCACAAACGTGGTGCCTGGGAAGGGGGAATTCAAAATAATCGCTGCAAAAACGTTGCAATCCGTACAGAATTTTTTCAGAATCCGCGTTTTCCATGAACTTTTGGGAGGCCTCTCATGGGTCACCGTGGGGCCAGAGGCTGGCCTGGGGAGGCCGGTGGTGGGGGGCGGGGGGCAGGGTTCACACAGGAACTCCTTTTGCCTTCTGCTGCCTTTTGCTCTAAACCCCAAAACTGCTCGGAAAAATGATGTCTGCTTAAAGAAGAAGGACACACTCCCGGGCCCATTTCAACCTGCGGTGGATCCAGCATGAACTGGAGGCCGACAGCAGGGCCAGGCTGGGCAGCGCTGGCACAGGCCCGGGCGGGCGAGGCCCGCGGGCCCTCCCTGGAGAGGTGTGCTCGGAGCCGCACGGAGCTCGGGCTCGCCCGGACGGCCAGGCCCAGGCCTGCACGTCTTTGACTTAGGGACAGGGACAACCACTGCTTTCACATCAAGACTTGGCCAGGATTCACCGGGCGCTCACCTCGGCCCGCAGCCGGCACGGAGGCCTGACACACAGTGTCCGGGACATCAAGGCCTTCTGATGTCGTGACACAAGTGCAGGGGCGGCCCACCGTCCCTTCTCGGGGCCCCTCCCCTCCCACTGTAACTGAAGACCACGCTTCCGGGATGTTAGCAGCGGCTCCTCAGCCCCTGCCCAAACTGCCCTGTGCGCCATTCTGACCACTGCCCGGTCAAAGGAGCCACGGAGGTTGAGCCGTGACCCCAGGCAGGCTTCAGCTCCCGGGAAGAATGCTCCTGGGGTGGGCGCTCCTGCCCACGCCGTGCAGGGGGAGACCAGGGTGGGACACATTCGTCTGATGGCCAGGTGCTGCATAGACATTTCTTGGAACATGCACGCATGGACACACACATGCACACGCATTCACATCATGCACCCACACATATACACATATATAAACACACCACAAACACACATACACACACCACACATGTACAAACAGCATACACACAGACTGTCCACTTACACACTGCACACACATACACACATGCACCTACATGTCCCCCACCCCCCACACAACCACATATACCCCATACACACACATACTCCATCTGCACCCCCCCACATGCACACACCACACACACATGCTCATATACACACACAGATCACATGCATACTACATAAACATGCACACACTTGCCCCCACACACACATGCGTGTGTACGTGTGCGCTTCCCTCAGCCCTCCCCTGTGGATTCCCACACTACATGCTGGCCTGGCAGGTCAGTGGGGGCAGATTCCAGGAGCCCAGGACAAAGCCCCTGCCAGCCCCTGCACTCGCTGATGCTGGCGTGAGGTTCCCCCACACAGGGAGGGCCTTCTGGCCAGGCTGTGACGCCAGCGGTCCCATTTCTACACATTTGAATCCCCCAGGGCCGGCAGCAAGTGGCGTCTGGCTCCCCCGCCCCCCAGCCTGCTCTGACCTGGTTGTGGGGAGTTGCTAGGTAACTGCTTCCCACGCTGGAGGAGGCTCGGTTGCCATGGCAAGTCCAGAGGAGTGGGGGGTGCCGAGGAGAGGGAGCGCCAGCCTGGGTCAGCAGGGGGACTCTGTCCTCGCTTCTGCTGAGCTTTGGGGTCCTAGGGAAGCCCCTGACCCCTCTGGGCCCCAATCTGCTCCTTGGTAAAGCTAAGGCGAGGCTGGGTGCCTTCTGGCTCTGAACCCCTGATGCATGCAGGTGGCATCAACTAAATAAATGCAGATCCTCAGACCCCTTAGGCAACGAATGAGATGCGTGCAAAGAAGCAAGGATGGAGCTTTCATTGTCTTGAAGACAAACCTGCGTGTGTTAGCTCGAACAAAAGTTACGCGAGTCCCTCCTCCTGGCAGCCGTGGCGCTGCTGGGACCGATGCGCACAAGCCCTGGCGCTCCTGACGCTTTTTTTTTTTTTTTAAGGTTTCTTTTATTTCTTTGAAAGGCAGAGTGACAGAGTGAAGGAGAGGTTAGAGAGAGAGAGAGATCGTCCAACCACTAGTTCACTCCCCAAATGGCCACAATGGCCAGGGCTGGGCCACGCCAAAGTCAGAAGCCAGGAGCTCCATCGGGGTCTCCCACGTGGGCAGCAGGGGCCCGGGTACTTGGCCATCTTTCGCTGCTTTCCCAGAAGCATTAGTGGACCGGAATCTGAAGTGCAGTAGCAGCCGGGAACCAAACCAGCACTCAGAGATGCGGTGCCAGTGTTACAGGCAGCGGCTTGACCCGTTGTGCCCAGCACCAGCCCCCCAAGGCCCTCTTCTGGACCCAGACCTCCCAT